TATTCCATATTCCATATTCTATTCTATTCTGTTCTCAATAAAAATTCTATTCTATTCCATACTCCTATTCTATTCTATTCTATTCTATTCTATTCTATTCTATTCTATTCTATTCTAATTTCATTCCATTCTATTCCTATTCCATATTCTATTCTATTTCTATTCTATATTCCATTCTATTCTATTCATATTCCACATTCCACATTCTATTCCATATTCCATATTCCATATTCCATATTCCATATTCCATATTCTATTCTATTCTATTCTATTCTATTCTATTCTATTCTATTCTATTCTATTCCATAGTCCATATTCTATTTCTATTTATTTCTATTTCATATTCCATATTCCATATTCCACATTCCTCATTCTACATTCCATATTCCATATTTCATATTGCATATTCTATTCTATATTGTGTAGGTTTACTCAGAAGTAAAATAATAGTTTAAAGCTGAAAGCCTGGATATTTTATTGGCTGCGTTTGTTCTTTTATATTAAACCATCAATCCTGGTTAACCATCTCTCGTTGCTAAGACAAAACCAGACAAATTCCATTAGAACTGCATAAACTAGATTGCCAGGTTAAGCTATAATGCAGCTGTCTGACTTGGGTTCAATCACGTGGAAAGATTTTACTTGAGAGTAAACTGCTGCAAATTTTAATTCCAAGACACTTAAAATATAGGTAGTCTGCAACATATCACACTTAGTGACCATTCAAAGTTGCAACAGCACTGAAAAAAGTGTCTTATGGCCATTTTTTTCCACACTTATGACTGTTGCAGCATCCCCATGGTCACATGACTTACATTTGGATACTTGACAACTGACTCACATTAATGACGATTGCAGTGTCCTGGGGTCATGTCAAGAAAAGTCGTAAAGTGGGGCAAATTTCAACCAATTCCTCACTTAGCAACATAAATGTTGGGCTCAATTGTAGATTACCCATATAGTGATTTTTTTGTGGGCTCTTATAACAGATACAAGATAATCAGAGTTGGAAGGGACCTTGTAGGTCATTTAGTCCACCCCCTGGCCAAGCTCCTACACCATTTCTGACAGAAGGGAATCCAATCTCTTCTTGAAAGCCTCCAGGGATGAAGCTCCCACAACTTCAGAAGGCAACTTCTGTTCCATTAGTTGATTGTTCTCACTGTCAGAAAGTTTCTCCTTATTTCTAGATTGAATCTCTCCTTGTTCAGTTTCCATCCATTATTCCTTGTCTGGCTTTCAGGGGCTTTGGAAAATAGCTTGACCCCCCTCCTCTCTGTGGCAGCCCCTCAAATATTGGAAGACCGCTGTCCTGTCTCCCCTGGTCCTTCTCTTCACTAGGTGTGCAAAGATGGCAACCTTGATTAATTTATTGTCAGTTTATTTGGTGTGGATTTTTTAAAAAAAACACAAGTTTATTCATTTTAAAATCAGAAAAGCTTCGGTTTGCACATTTTAATAATTCTGGGTATTTTCAGAAAGTTTTTAGGGTAAAAGTGACTAAAAATTCCACAGGAGAAAAAAAAGGGGGGTTTAATACAACCAGCAGGGGGCAATAGATAGCAAAATGCATTTATCAGTAGCAAGGAATTGGATTGAAAGGGAGCAGAGAGAGGATTAGAGACAATATTATTTAAAAAAATAATAATATTCACGTTCTCCTCCATGGATAAACCTAATTTAAGCCTAGAAACATCTGTTTCTCACCCTTTTGGAACCTGCATCTCCAACTATGGTATAACATAGATAGTCCTCGACTTACAACGGTTCATTCACACTTATGACCGTTGCGGCATTGCCCCATGGTCACGTGATTTATGCTGAACAACTGACCCTATTTATGACAGTGGCAATGTCCCTGGGGGGGTCACGTGATACCCTTTTGCGACCTTCTGACAAGCAAAGTCCAATGGGGAAGCTGGATTCACTTAACGACCATGTGACTCATTTAACGTCTGCCACGATTCACTAAACAAACGTAGCGAGAAAAGTTCATAAAATTGGGGGGGCAAAATGCACTTCACCATCATTTCTTACTTAGCATCCTAAATTTTGGGCACAGTGGTGGTCATAGGTTTGAGGACCACCTGTACAAATTAACTGGGATAGAGAGGTGATTATAATTTGGGAAGGGATTAGGTCACACAGCAGTACAGAGTCTGTCATGCCCCTGGTGGAGACTGACTCTGAGGGAGAGGAGGAACAGCCGACAGGGAGCGGAAGTGGGGCTCCAGAGGTTGTGGAGGAGGCTGGGGAAGGGCAGAGGCCAGCTGGGCAGTCAGAGGAAGAACCAGGCCCATCCCCTCTCCATCCTAGGGCATGCAGGGATGAGGGGATAAGGGAGAGACATGAATGGCATGGTCTATGGGGGAGGAAAGGGCCTTGATCCCCTTCATGGGCTTCAGCTGTGAGAACTGGATAAGAGGATGGACCTGCATACTGGCGAACGCTGGAAACAAAGCAGGTAAATATCTCTAGCTTATAGTTCCTCTCTGAGTTTGGGGTCCTTCCCAGTGTGTGTTATCTGTGGACATCCTCCAGCCTTTTATCTTGCCTGGTTTGTGTTGCTTTTTTCCCTTCATCGTGTAACTGTTTGTGTGGGAGTGTTTTTGTCTTCACTCAAAGATATTCAGAGCTCGGAAGCAAACTGAAGGAATAAAAGGGGCTTCGTCTGTTTTCTGTGACTGTGTTTATTTTGTATCCCACCCTGGGTCATCACATAGTCCTTGACTTACAACCTTTCATCTAGGGATGGTTGAAAGTTACGATGTCACTGGGAAAAATGACTTATGGCTGTTTTTCACACTTACGACCGTGGCAGCATCCCCCACAATTAAAAATCCAGACGCTTGGCACACAGGCATATACTCCTGACCAACAAAATCAGCGGGGAAGCCAGATTCGCTTAAACAACGACGTATTATTCACATAACAATGGCAGCGATTCGCTTAACCATGGGGGCAAGAAAGTTGGTAAAATGGGACAAAGGTCTCTGAACCGCTGCCTCGCATAGCGACAGAAAACTTGGTCTCAATGGTAGTCATAAGTCGAGGATGACCTATAGATTTGTTATATTTTTCGTGGAAGAAATTCAAACCCTTTTAAAGGGAGGGAAAGGCTTGTATTGGGGTGTCCAGAGAGTTCAGGATTAGAACTGGGGGTGGCCTCCCACCCAGGGATGGTATTCAATTTTTTTTACTAGCAGTTCTTTAGGCGTGGCTTGGTGGGTGTGGCTTGGTGGGCGTGGCAGGGGAAGGATACTACAAAATCCCCATTCCCTCCCCGCCCCACTAACCTGCTTTCCAGCTCCGTTCTCCTGTGCAGGACAACCAAAGAAGACCCAGCCAATCAGCTGGGACTCAATGGGAGACAGAGAAGAGATGGGGGCGGGGCCAGTCTCAGGTGGGATTGGCTGGTTCTCCGAACTACTCCAAATTTCCATGACCGGTTCTCCAGAACTGGTCAGAACCGGCTGAATACCCACCTCTGCTCCCACCATTGGTGAAATGCTACTGGTTCGGCCCGGTTCGATGGAACCGGTAGCAAAAAATGCCTTAGCTTGTGTTTGCAAAGCTGAGCACATGTGTGTGCGAAATGCGTCATCGCCAAACCGATAGGAAAACTGGTAGAATCCCACCACTGCCTCCCACCCTGTTTAGAGAAGGAATCGCCCCTCCCTCCACCCCTTGGGGATCCTGCAATCCCTGCCCCCCCCAAAAAAGATCCTCACCTCTGCTGTTTCGATGGACCTGTAAAGGACTGGGAGTTGTCGCCAATGGAGAGTGAAGACATTCTCGCACAGGGGCAGGTTCGCAAGATGATGCATCGGATTCTCCGCCATCTCGGTCCTGCTTGCAGGGATTCTCATACATCCTCAGGGAAGGCAGAGTCAGCTGCTTCCTTTCAGTGGAGGGAAAAGGGGGGGGAAGGGGACAAGTTTTAATCTTCAGCGTCAGCATTTGAGAGGGTTCGAGTCGTCCCGCCCCCACTTCCTTCCTCCTCTTATCTCTAGAATTCGAGGTGCTCCATCACTGGAGGCTTTCAAGAAGAGATCGGACAGCCATTTATCTGGAATGGTAGCAGTAATGTCGCTCAATCTTGGCCACTGAAAGATGGGTGGACTTCAACTCCCAGAATCCCTCAGCCAGCTATGCTCGAGAAACAGGAAGCAATTATTGCTGGGGAATTCTGGGTGTTGAAGTCCACCCATCTTCGAGTGGCCAAGGTTGAGCCGTATTGGTGTAGTGCTTCCTGTTTGAGCAGGGGGGTTGGACTAGAAGACCTCCAAGGTCCCTTCCAGCCCTACTATCTATGTCAGGGGTCTCCAAATGTAGCAACTTTAAGATGTGTGGACTTCAACTCCCAGAATCCCTCAGCCAGCTATGATAGAGAAACAGGAAGTGATTAGGGCAGGGGAATTCTGGGATTTGAAGTCCACATGTCTTAAAGTCACCAAGTTTGGAGATCCCTGATCTATGTTGTACTCCTCAAGGTCCAAACAAAACCCAAAGGGCAGCACCTCAAAACTTCCCAACTGAAAAAAAAAATGGACATCACCTCACCAAAGCCGAGTCCCTTTTGAGGAAAATTGACTCCTGCTCAAAAAACAATGCTTACCAATGTGAGAGGGGCTTGATGCTGCTTTCCTGGTTGGTTAATCCTTCAGCCTAATCAGCATTCCCAGGGATCAACTGGTGGTCTCCCATCCAATTGCTAACCGGGCCTCCCCCTGCTTAGTTTCTTAGAGAGCCAAAATGGCCGCCACGGTGCCATTTGCAAATCAGTTCCTGACTGCTATGAAATCTGGAGCAAAAAAACCAAACCTCTTTCCTTCACAAGTTCGGCTCTCATTTCCCCATTGACAAAAATTTAGGATTGGTTAATATAATATTTGTTTGTAAGAGGCAGGGGGAGCTGTGGTTTAAGCCAAGGTAGCATCTTTAGCTAAGGCGGTGCTTTGAACGTTGAGTGAAACTTTGTGTACGGTTTAATAGAATATAGAACAACAGAGTTGGAAGGGACCTTGGAGGTCTTCTAGTCCAACCCCTTGCTCAAGTAGGAGACCCTATACTAGGGGTCCCCAACCTTGGCCACTTTAAGACTTGTGGACTTCAACTCCCATTATTCCTCAGCCAGCAAAGCAGTGTAAAGCTGGATGAGGAATTCTGGGAGTTGAAGTCCACAAGTCTTAAAGTGGCCAAGATTGGAGACCCCTGCCCTATACCCTTGCAGACAAATGGCTGTCCAATCTCTTCTTTAAAATCTCCAGGGTGGGAGCAGCCACAACTTCTGGAGACAAATCATTCCACTGATTAATTCTCACTGTCAGGAAATTTCTCCTTAATTCTTTTACAGTTAAATCTCTCTTGTCCTTTTTTGGCAGCAGCCAAACAAGCGAATTACAATCCTTGGTTGTATAAACAGAGGCACAGAATCAAAATCGTATGAGATATTAGTACCGCTTTATAAAGGCTTAGTAAGGCCACACCTGGAATACTGCATCCAGTTGTGGTCACCACATTACAAAAAAGACATTGAGACTTTGGAAAAAGTACAGAGAAGAGTAACCAGGATGATTAGGGGACTGGAGACTAAAATCATGTGAAGAACAGTTGCAGGATTTCGGTTTGGCCGGACTAGAGAAAAGAAGGACTAGGGTGGACATGAAAGCAGTATTCCAGTATTTGAGGGGCTGACACAAAAAGGACAGGGTCAGCGTATTTTCCTATCCTATTCAGGTGCTTTGGAGAATAATTTGACCCCCTCTCTTCCGTGGCAGCCCCTCAAATCCTGGAAGACTGCTATAATAGCACCCCTAGTCTTGTCTTCTCTGTTCTCCTCCCCTTCTCCCCTCTTCCTTCCCCTCCATTCCCTTCTCTGCAATTTAATGTGTTGCGTATAAATCCAGCAACGGTGACTTGTAAGTCATGTTTATGGCAAGGTGCTATCAAAACCCAGGCAGCAGGAGGCTGTTTAACAAACCGTGATTAAACCAACCACAGTCCAACACCTCAGATGAACACAGTGTTTGATTACAAAGTTGGGTCAATTTCTCTTCGTTTTCAGCAAGCTGAAGACTTAATCCAGGTAGTAAGGCTTGCCCACAACTGTTTTGAGTAAACACGAATAAGGTTGCAGATAAGAATAACAAGATTACAATACAATTGTCTGAACGGCTTAACAGATCTTAATCCCAAAGAGAACTATATTTAGGACGGCAAGCTAAGATGAGGAGAAAGTACAGAAACAAAAAAAAAACAGCATTTGCCTGTAGAAATCCCACCTTGTTGTCATTAAGGGAAAAAAATATTCTCAGTTTACCTTTTCTCTCTCCGCCCATTCCCTGTGTCTCGAAATCCTTTTGCAAAGGGGTTGTTGTCGATCTTCAGTTGGGTGATCTGAGAAAAATTGAAACAATGTTCAGGAACAGTTGAAATTCTTCCAGCTGGCCAAATAAGTGAAGTCAAGGTCATAGCTACGGATTTGGGAAATATCTGGAGGACACCAAGCTGATAATCCCTAGTTCGGGTGTCAACAATTTCCCCCACCCCCTTATTTTCCTCCCCAAAGTTGAGGGCTGTTTGGAAACTGAAGCAGTATTTACTGTGTGAGCAAGGAGACAGCAAGGAGCCTGGGTGTGGCTTAGCTCAACTGTTCTGTACTAAAGCTGCTTGGTGCTGTAAAACTGAAACCGAAACTCCTCTGCTTGTGTTTTGCATTTGGAAGCTATTTCTTTTCAGGTGGGGAGGGGGAGTAGAACTCCTTAGCATCAGAGCGTGTTAATAATAATAATATAGGAAATACTAATAGCTCTGATGGTCATTTTGAAAAATCCTTTCTTAGTGAGCCCCTAGAAGCCAAGAGGAACATAGGTGCCAAATTTCAAGTTTGTCGGCTTTACGGTTCTGGAGATTTTGTGACGATGCCTGAGTGGCTTTTATATAGATAGATTCTTTTAAAAACAGAAGGTTGCAGAAATAGAGACAACGGCTCGTTTGGGTAGAAGAAAGTGGAGATTGTGTGCTGGGCTAGAGTGGGGAGGACTTGGGCTCGGAGGTTTGGGGGGGGACAAAGGAGGGTCCAGGGCAGTCTCCCCCTTCCCATCTTCCGGTCCAGAGATCTACAAAACTTGAATTTATAGGAAGTCCCCACCTCCCACTTTTTCGCCCAGGCTGGCTGGGCTCCTCTGGTGGCCTCGTAAATTTGAAGGGCGAAGGCCGTAATCGATTAATGACCCTCCAACATCGGGCCCACCGCGGAGAGAAAGCCCCCAGGCGAAAGTGAAAGGGCGGCAGAACGGGTGGGAGACCGGCAAAGAAAAAGGCCTCTCTTCTCGCCCTTTTTTTTCCTTTTTTTATCCTTTTTCCTGCGAGCGTTTGCAAAAGAAATTTCCCCATGTCCAGCTTCCTTTTGCTGCCGGCTTCAAAAAAAGAAAAAAAAACCTAATTCCTATCCGATTTCCAGCCGGGGGATGCAGAGACTTTTATATCTTGAATCTGGGCCTTAATTGAACTTTAAAAACAATCTGAAAGCTTCTCCCCCCCCCCCCCCC